GAGACGGTGCCGTACGACGCCTGCGTCACCGTGCCCGGCGGCAGATGCGTGCCATGGATATACGAGACGCTCTGGGTCAACAGTGCGCCGGTGGCCGAGTAGGCTGCGTCGCCGCTGGCGGCGGTACGTTACGTTTCGTTACGTTACGGTGGCGGAGGTTGGTGGTCGCCGCGCGCTCGGAGCAAGCGGACGCCGAGGCGTGCCACGTTTGTCGCCTCGCAGGGAGTGAACGCTGTTTCGATGGCGATGCTCGTAAGTTGAGACTAAGTAATGGTAGCGTTCGGAGTTCAGCCGTTTGACATTTGTTGCCAATTTCAGTCCATGTGCTTACTTTACCTCGTCGTTGCGGAGTATGATGGGCTGCGATTTGGACGCCAGTTCTCAAAATATTCGGTCGCAAATTCGTATACGCGTTTGTCCTCACGCGAGTAGGCGCATGTGCGCTCCTTTGCCACTGTTCTGGCGTCGACAGTGCGAAGCTGATGATACTCCATGGCTGTGTTGGCGTGGGTATCTTGGCGTGACATAATTTCGAAGTCTACGCTCCTGGCTCGACTTGCCCTGTTCTAAGTTTATTTCGGTGTCTGCAAACGAAGAGCAGAAGGATGGCGAAAGTGAGAAGCGCATACATGCGCCGATGTGCTGCAAGACGGGGATAGAACGTGACGTGCTCTTTCCATTTTGGCGCCAACGTGCAGGCTCGTGGTGTTTTCAAGAGTTTCGGGCGTTCTTAGCCGTCTTTGGCACAAATGCAAAAACACCCGCGTCTGTTGAAAGGCATGGCAAACGTGAAGACCGTGTGTCGTAAATGATACTTTTTGTGCGGATAGCGCGTCAGCTTTTCAAGCTGCTTCCAGCACAGGAGTTTGACGCTTGCAACGTCGGGAGACGCGTAAATGCAAGTATAGGTAAAAAGCAGAAGCATATGGATGTTCCTATGGGCCTTGCGTGATCTTTAGCCTAGTTTACATGCCAAGTATATGATATGTAATGTTCCAACAGGCCTAGCATCCAGCAGCAGTGCGTTGTTTACGGAAAAGGGAGTGTTTCATTTGTTGTCACAATATATTATTTCCGATTTTCACTCTGGCATGTCGTCTGCTGACCTGACCGGTGTAACATGATCGGCACAATCGGCGCGCCCTGGGACATCATGGACAACAGGACCCGCTGATCGTACTGTGTTAACACACTAAATAACGCTCAAGCACATGCCCCCCCCCCTTCTCCCCCTCCCCTCCCAGAAAAAGACGAGCCCCAATTTCGTGGTAGAATGGTGATGCAATGGGAAATACACGCAGCAAACATGGATTAGCTTCCCGGCATGCTGGTGTTGCGCAAACTAGCCTGTATTGTGCTACATTTACTAGGAACCGTTAATAGGGTAAAACGACATTTGCATCCGTCCATCACTACCTGGCACCGATGTCTTTACCAAACAAGTGGAGGTGGCGGATACGCAACGAATATGGCCCTGGTAGGGTGTGGCACATTGGTGTGACCTCCTCCAGAGTGCCTCGTATAGAGGTCAACATTTTGAACGCAATGTGACGCTGACATATCCAGCCCAAATTTCTCTGAATTACTCGGTTTTCATACAATAGCAGGCTTTTGAGTTTGTCCACACTTAACTGAGTTTCTTCATGAACGATGCCTTAAAAATGTTCACTGTCGGAGAGCAAAGAAATTATAATCACAGCACCTACAAAAATCAATATGACAGGTGTTTATCAATCGGAAACTATGACCGTCTGTGCTCTAAGGCGACCCAACGTTGACCGAATTGTTAATCGTATCGATCAATCTAGGATCATGTCAGTAAAAAACAAAACTTGAAGTGACTACCCACGGATCTGCCAGATTAATACCTCTCCCTGTCCAATGCCGTGACATAGTACGCTGTTCCGGGGGATTTCGTTAAAAAGTCGGCGCCAACTGAAGGTGTGCGGCACCTGGGGCAGGAGCACTTATTGTGGCCTCCACTAGCCGGGTCACCAAATGGCCCACCGGGTCACCAGCTGTAGTCCAGCGCCGTGCGTGCTGTTTCCCAGGTCGCGAAGCTCACAGTCGAACACAAATCAAACGGATAGAAGGCACTCACCACGACTGGTGGTAGCAGCGCACCAACGCTGGTGACCGCGCCAATATAGATCAGGTGGCTGCAGTGCTTTCAGATCAACGTGTCGTTCAGTAATGCCCCATCATTATGTCTATCCGTTTGGTATGTGGCACTTAAACCTGAGGCAGCGCAGCCTCACGCCGTTCGTTGCCAATAGCGCTAGCGGTGCCGGGGAGTGGCTCTCGAAGGACAGTTTGCAGCTACCATGGAACTGTCTAATTCCATTTGGTTTTGATGATAGGCAGCGGTTGGCTGTTGTGAGTCACAAACAATGGGCACAGAAACTCCACTGGGGGGAGGGCTCCAAGCCTGGGAAACAGCTTTGACGTATGCCTGAAATTTCACTCAGCCAATTTCGTGTGCCTGGTTTGGAGATTCGTAAACGGTTAGTCAGAGTTTGCGTTTTGTTTGGTTATATTCTTGTGCTCAACAACCAGAAATTGATGGATCTCGAATGGATTATGAGCCCAGACTCGAAACGCTGCTTCCCCGTCCCCCACCGGTTCCCACGCCACCGTGACCAACAAGTCAGAGGACCCAAAACTTTGAAACCTTCTGCGGTCACCTCAAATTTAAATATACTTCTAAGCTTTGAGTCAGTTCGTGATACATTTTACTCACACCCTGTTCGCTCACGCAAGCCCGCGGTCGCCAGAGGGCGCCGGGCGGTGAGAACGATCCCGGCCGGCGGCTCTGAACTGTGGCTGCTTAGCCAACATTCCGGTGACGTCGGACGGCGCTCAGTCGGAGCTAGGCCGGCTCGTCTGGTGCGCGTGAGTCCTTTTTCACAAACGTGTTCCGGTGCATTGTCGGTAATCGTTTTCTGTCACTCCAAATCTCAGTTGAATCCTGGCGATGTGTGCCCTCAGCTGATGGGATATGCCTGATTGCGACGCATGTGTGACGCGTGCGGAGTGGCGGTGACCGTGCGGGTTCAGCCTCGAGCCCCAGACAGTGTCACTTGGGAAGTGGTCAGTAGCGGCACGCGCAAGGCAGTCTTATGTCTCTGGGTGCCGGCCAGTGCACGGCACTGCGTCTGATCGGCATCTGCACTGATCTGGTAGGTCGGCGGCCGGGGCCGACAGCATTGAGTTATGCGGCGCCCTGGGTGGGAGGAATCGTACCGATGCAATGTAGACGTTGTTGAGGTACGACACTGAGAGCCGGAATCCGCGAAACCGAGCTCCATACGACGGCGACTCCACACTAAGGCGGCAGAACCCCCAGTCGCGTGCGATATCCACGAGTTTAGAAAACATGCTTCATTGCGAATGAGAATTCCAACATGCGAATTTAGAAAACATGCCAAACAAAATTTCGCATGCTGTGCTCTCCATAGAAAGCTCCCTCAATATGTCTGCAGACTTATCCAGATGTCTTGCAGTTAAAGCGCACCGCAGTTTTTCTATTTTTTGTTGTTGTTTCGTTGTCTGCATTTCAACTCAGCCACGTGGCTGAACCAAACCTAAGCCCAGTTTCCCAAGCTCCGTTTGCTCCGACACGTTGGCGATGTCCAACTATCAAACGCCGCAGTGCTGCCAAATTTCGCATGACCCAAGCTGAATGGAATCTGGCAGCTTGATAGCAGTCATGCATGCAGTGTTAATGTACTGGCAACTGATATGTGCTCATAAGCATTTGGCAATGCAGCATCGCAATGTTTTGCTAGCCTAATGTGTTGTTTTCTTCAATTTTCCACGCCTTCGGACACGCCTGCACACTAGTTCCTCGATTTCTTCGCTATGCTTTGCAATCCTTTGCCTATCCAGGCTTTAGGAAGCAGACGACACGTTCACCTTGCAGTCTCTGCCTGCCCACCTTGCCACTGTATCACCGCTGGCCTCCTATTACTATCAGGCGTCACCCTTGCTTACCCTTCTCCTTGGTCCATGATCTCGAACCATATGCTCCCCTCTCATGTAAATACATTTGCATTTCCGTTCAGCCATCACCTGAATTCGTCTTCAACCGGGCATTCATCTGACTCTATGACATCTTCTGGAAGAGCGGCTGGTGTGGTCTGGACGGGACCTATATGGCCTTGTGGCTGGCAGCTGCGCGCCGCGCTGTGGCGCCAGCTGAGCCACCTCAGTTTGCCTGGCCGCCGCCGCCAGGTGGCGTGCCGTCCAGTCCTGACACGCGGGCGCCTCTGCACGGTGGTCGGTACCGGGAAGTGGACCGGGGAGTCCACGGCGGTAGCTCAGCGGCGCGACGCTGCGCTGATGCCAGCTGTCTGACTGTCAGTTGACTGATGACCGTCAGCTGACTGAAGACTGTCGACTGACTGATGACTGTCAGTTGACTAATGATTGTCAGTTGAATGATGGCTGTCAGCTGATTGATGGCCGAGCTGACTGACTGTCGCTGGCTGCCTGACTGTCAGCTGACTGGTGACTGTCAGCTGACTGGGGACTGTCAGCTGACTCTGACTCTACGGAACTCCGGGCCCCGGAAGACGCCGGATCACTGCCGCTGTGCTGGATCACAGCGTCAGTGTGTTCTCTGCAGCGGCTGCGCGCTGCTGCGTCCCAGTGTGGTGCTCTGCCGTGCGGGTCTCCAGCCCCTCCAGCACTCACACTGTTACAGCGCGAGCTGCGAGCTGTGCCCGTATGTGTGCGTATTTCCCATTCCTTGTCATGTCGATCGTTCACCGGACGGAACTGGGGGCTGGGTGCGGTGCTTTTCCCTGAGTGCTTTCCGGGGACTGGTCGTCTCTGGCTAGTAACCGGGTGAGCATAACAGCGCTGTTGCTGCATTGCTGTATCATCTCGCGCACCATTTTTATTATGGTATTTTTGTTAGGTGACTGGTTCATGCAAATGGATTCATGGCTCGCTTGGCTTGCTGTCTCCTTGTAAACATCTTCTGCCAGCACACTGCATGTTATAGATATGTTTATTTACCCAATTCACTCCTGACAGTATCTTTGTCATTGCAGCTGAAGCAATTAGTTGAAAGCAGCACACTGAAGCATTGCACTTTTGCGTTTCGCTGTTTCTTCTGGGCTTACACTCACACAACACTCATTCTAATACAATCATCTGACGTGACATCCACGCCGCCGTTCCCAGGGACGGCGGCGCGCCGAGGTGCCTCTACAGGCGGCACGACCAACATGACATGACAAGCCTTGATCAACAGCCTCGATTCGCTAAGCGTAGTGTGTGCTTTCCCCCACGCCGGCGGCGGCCGGCTGCCGGGGAGGGCAGCTGGCCGACCGGCGCCGCACGCTGGCCCAGTGCCGCTCAGACCTCGTTCGGCGACTGCAGTTCGTCACCGAGCGGGCGAATGGGCAGGCGGACCACGCGCGCCACCAGCCGCGACATGTCCACCAGCGGACGCGAGACGAACAGCTGCTCGATCTGCTGCGTGCTGAGTCCGCTCGTCTCGGGAAGCAGCAGCAGTACATACGCCAGGTGCACGACCGCTACCACCGCCCAGAAGAGGAAAACGCCAGCCTCGCCGAGCGTGGCGAGCAGCGCCGGGAATGATTGCAGCTGCGCCACCGTTAACATTGCGTAAAAGCTTGTGAGCCAACCGCCGCACAGCTCTCGCAACGGCGTGGGCAGCAGCTCGCCAATCAGCACCCAGGTGATTGGGCCGTTGCCCAGCGAGAAGAAATTCATGGCGCCGAACACGCAGACGATAGGCAAGACAGAGCTGGCGGCCAACGCCGGCACCAGGAAGTAGGCAGCCATGAGCATGTGGCATGCGATCATGCCGAGCGACGAGACCATCAGCAGCGGTCGACGCCCGCAGCGATCCACCAGCAGCGAGCTGATCATGGCCATCGGCAGTCGGCTGGCTGACATCACCATCGCCAGCGTGAACGGGTCCATCGTGATGCCGACGCGCCGGATGAAGACGACGGCGTAGTTCTGGATCACGGCCGCGCCCATCCAAACGAAGGCGACGATCTGCGCGGCCATCAGCAGCACAGGAGTCAGGTTCTCGCGCAGGCGCAGCGAGCGCAGCTTCTCGAGCGTCGACGCCGGCGGCGCGCACCGGTCGGTCTCGGCCTCGGCGGCGGCGCGCGCCTTCAGCTGGCTGGTGTCGGCGTCCGGGCCGCGGTAGAAGAGCAGAGATTGGCGCGCCGCCTCCAGCCGTCCCTGGCCCAGCAGCCAGAGTGGGTCCGACGGCAGAACGCCAAGCAAGCCGGCCGATAACACGTTCATGCTGATTCCGATTATCAGGGCGCAGTGCCGCCACACGAGGAACTTGCCCGCCAAGAAGGTGAGGATGATGGAGATCGTCAGCACGAATTCTGGAATGTTGCTGAGCAGGCCGCGGTACTTGGGGCTGCTTGTGGCAGAGATGAAGAGCATGTTGCACGAGAGGCCCATTGATACGCCGAAGCCGCTCAACATGCGACCTGCCAGTTCGAATACCGGTGAAAACCAGTTTGAAAACCGGTGAGCGGACGAGCGCCGCGCGAATCAGGACATAACTGCCGAGTGGTGACGACTTGGTGGCAGAGCGCAGCGATGGAAGCTTTTGTTCCGCTGCTCGACAAGCAGCGCTATGTGACGTGTGTACAACACATTGAACGTAACGGCAACGACGTAACGCACGTTGCAAACGGCATAACACGGTATTTAATAGAAGCATCGGCTCTCAGTTCAGTCCGCGAGCGTCCTGGCAGACTTCCTGTCTTTGGTGACCAGTCTTTGGTGACAACGAAGCATTATTGAAACATCAAAGCCCATGAAGAGCTCTCGTGCACTGCGAGTAGTGGATAGTTTGTTCAAACTGCGAAGTTTCCGACAAAGTGCGCTTGAGTGAAGAGCTGACTTGCACATACCCATGCACACGGCACTAGCAAAGCATTGCAGTTTCCGCTGCTAAAAATGCGCGCAGCTGCGATCAGTGGTGGTAAAATCGACAACCCCAAAGAATTGTAATGGCCCGACCGGGGTTTTCAGTTTAAAATTGCATCATTGTTCAAGCATGCATTGCTGAACTTGCGTTCTCGCTCTTTTATGTAAAGTAGCCTCGCTGCCTAAGTTATAAAGGGACGATTTTCCAGGCCTACTTAACAAACGACATTAACATGTTGCCGCGTTCGGCACCAAACGACCATGCTCACCACCGGCGCCCGCATCAACGGCCGTAATCCTGATCTGCTGGCCTTAATTCCTTAACGGTCCACCCACTCACCAGCGACCATGACGTGCACGGACGGCGCCAAGGCCATGGTGACCCAGGCCAGCAGGCAGGTCGGCAGGCTGAACAGCATGGTGTTCCTCGAGCCGAACCGGTGGCCCAGGCTGCCCGAGGCCAGCGAGCCCACCAGCAGGCCCAGAAAGTATGACGTCACTGGAAGCCCAGAGCCAAGAGTCAGCCCCGTCCGGTGGCGTCAGAGGCCCTCCTCCCAGTCCCCTGATCAAGCTGTTCTGCGTTACCCACCCGCCCTCGTTACTCACGGCATCCGGCGATGGATCGAGGAAACAAGCGCATCCTGCTCCCAGACTTGCAACGGCTCAAACGAACTACTCCAAGACGACAAAGAGTCCTACACGGGAAGGTTGAAATAATAGGAAAACCATATTTACGATGTCGATCCGAGGAATATTCCAGAAGTGGACTCTGCCACGGACCGGAACGACCTTCAGAGGTCAGGTCGCACGGTTTCCCCAACCGCACCTGTAGTAGAAAGGTCAACAGAATGCGGCCACGACCGAACAGTGTGCGAGCAACGTCCGAGAAGTTGATCATTTGCAGCCAAATAAAGGCTTGAAGAACGATCAATACAGATGCTGAACTTCAGCCTAACAGTCAAGGCAATATGATGTGAACAGGTGTTAAAGTTGTAAATCAAATGCTGTCGATTTAAGGGAATCAGGCCCACTCAAACCATCCATAGCTCTGCGTTCGGAAATGCTTCGAATCCTCCTCAGTGAGCTGCTACACGATTATGCCTCAATTCTGCAAGCGTATGGTGATGCATCAAAAATAATTTTTAGCTTGAGCAATTACAAAGAATAAAGTTGGGCAACGATCATAAAGCCATTTCGTCGCTTTCGATGTTATGATCTTTGCCATTGCCGAGCTTATGCTCAAGCACCAATTACGAGGACATATTAAGGCATCCTAAAAACGTTCAATGACGAGCATTAGTGCTTTTTTGCTCTGGACGATACTAAGCATTTCCAACCACAAAACCCGGGGCAATTTGGTAGTGCCTATTCCCTTCAATAGAAGCATTTCAAATGTAAAAAGGAAATATCGAAATTGTACGATTGTATAAAACGGATATTTCGTATCATGAGAAGATTATGATATGTAGTGAATAGTTACTTTCAACAGTTCAAGTAACTACACCCAACAGCAGATGAATATCTACAAAGCTTTCGAAAATTGACCAAAGCTACGTTATCCATTGAACAGTACCAGAGGCGTATGCCCAGGAGGGGGCACGTATGGCAATTTGTTCTGTTAAATTTTGAACTTTTTCCTCTCTGTATGATGCTTCCTCAATGTCAGCATACATGCCCCCTCCTTTAGATGTTTAAGCGTACGCCTCTGACCAGTACCTTCGTTCTTTCCTTCTATCAGCCCAATTCCTCTTCTTTTTTCGAGTTGACTGTCCCACCATTTTGCCTGTAACTATACTGTGTCGAACAATCAACATAGGTTTATTTGAAATAGCATTTAGGCGCAATTGAAAATGGTTCTTGTGCTCAACAAATGCGTGCTTAACTATGCGCTCAACAATTGGTCGGTGAATCTCAAATAATTGGGTTGTTGTAATTTATTGCGAAAAACAGCCAAGCTTTCATTGGATTTAAAACTTGCTGTACGGTAGATAAAAGCACGGAACATCGGCAAAACATTCGTTGCTTTTTCCCGAAAGGTGAGCTCGCGTGACGCAGGCTCACCAGCCTGGCAACAGATAGAGTTTTGAACGTTTTGTCCCACGCAAAGAATGACCCGGTTACTAAAAATAACAGTCAACGAAAGGCAGGGGTTGACTTGCAATCACCGGAGCCTGTAACTGCTCAGCGCTTAGCATAGCATGCATTTTAGCAGGCTTGAACAGCAAATGACTTAGTTACATGCTGGCACGACTGAAGTTTTAAAGAGTTCTGACAGGGTATAAGTTGCATACACTCAACAGATATAAATGCTAAGTAATAGAGTTTTACGTTGTCCGATTGTTCGTAATTCGGTACAACGAATGCAGTGCCTGAAGGCATGCTGGAGAGCACGTATCCAGTTCATATAATGTATGAGGGTGGTGATCTTACAACTATGCAAAAAGACACACCAGATCAGCATATGCAGCTTTTTGGTGCCGACAGCGGCTGCCGAGCATGAAGCTGGTTTATGTTTCATATCGTTTTGTTTTGTTCTCTTGTTCCATACTGCTTGAATGGGGTATGGACAATAAGTCTTCGCGTTTGTGCATCGACGCACTCGCGTAATGTCAACGACTGAAATTTGGCTTTCACGATGCAATCCATTGTTATTCTAAAATGGCTCCAAATTGTGAAGGCAAGAATCTTATCTTATTTTGACGACAGCTCGTAAACAGCTGGTCTGAGGTATGTCTGACATTTGCAGACCATGGGCAGAAGCAGGCACGCATCATGTTTGGCCTGCGTGTTCAAACGTCATATTTCACAACTGAACAAAAATGGCATAGGTTTGCGTCATCTGTGGGCACTATTTTCCGTGTCGCCACAGGTACAGACCGTGATTCAATCAACGCCTTTATCCCACTAAAACTAGGCGCTGCGCAGCAAGATTCTGTCACGCATTCCGTTCCACGGTAACGGACGTGAAACAACCGCAACGAGTAACGGATTCCGAAGCCAGCCAGCTTCGCAATGTTCATGAGTCGTCACGATCTCAACACTGCCATCGCGTGACCCCAGCCCGCTCGTGTTGCGCTGAGGCCGCGTGTGTAGAGGTGCGCCGTGTCCCCACGGGCTAGAAGACGGGTGAGCTCATAAGCACAACAGATGGTCACAAAGGCGTCCGCCTGTGTCAGCCCTCCACGCAAACTCGCTGCGGAACGGCCTGCGACCGCAGTTGTCGTTGGCAGCGCCGCCCGTGTCGCCTGCTGCACCGCACGGATAGCTCGCGCTGACGAAACACTCGGCATCGAGGCATGTTCCCATGACGAATGCAAGCCATCACACGTGGCCGTCATCGAATGATCACAGCTGCTGCCGCCCGACAACGGCGTGGTGGACACGGAACCTGACTGAGATGTGTTGAGATGTTTTGGAGACTAGGCCCTGCTGAATAATCATCGCTCACGCATGAAATCTAAAGCAGAAGTATATGAGGGCATCATAGACATCTAGGTGGGTCGTCGATCCGTTAAAGGATAAACTTGTGAACACTCACCACCGTGTAGCATTAACGAAACAAGACATTCAGCAGCATTGACTGATATTCGCCATAAGCATACACATTACACATTTGTCCATGCAGCCTTTGTACGTGCAATATAGCTGTCCCCTAACACAATGGCGCGGCACACTGCGGCTTCGCTGCACGTTGTCAGCCCATTGCGATGACCGCCACCCGGCCACCAACACATTTCTGTGAATGTGCTTCACGAACTGCAAAAGTGACGTCTAACCGAGTATTGCACGACCGTCGTGACCACAAAATCGCATCCGCACCCACCGTCCGCACCCTCCGCTGCACCCACCATCCGCGCCCACCGTCCGCACCCTCCGTCCGCACCCTCCATCCGCACCCACCGTCCAAGCACCGCCCTCGCCCGTGCCGCAATAGTCTCGTGCCGTCTCGTCGGCCGAACCGGCACCCCCTGCCCCGCTCGCCTGCCGGCCGGCCGGCGCCGCGTCCCCCGTCACTCACAGAAGAAGGTGAGCTGGGCGTCGGTGGCGGGCAGCGTGCCGTGACCCTGCTGGATGTGGTCAACGGCCAGCGCGCCGAAGCAGCCGGATGCCACATGCTGGGCCGTCGTCATGGACGAGGCGAAGGCCGCGAGCATCTACCGATGGTAGATGGGGTCACAGGGATCGCTATTGTCCCTTGTAGCGGCACACGGGCGGCGGGAGTCACACTGAGGAGAGAAGCAGCATGGTTGCAGGAATAACTGAATAACTGATGAATTTGGTAATGGCGGTGGAGGTCACAAGATAGACGAGCACCGGTCGGCCGTGACGGAGGTCACACAGAAGTTACAAGGGTTTCAGTTGTCATTTTTGCATTTATTGTTGATCACTAACCACATTTTCACTTATCAGTTCTTCCTGAGCAGCTGCTGGAGAGTGGCAGAGGCCAGGCGGGGGGCACAGGCCACGGGGGGGGGGGGGGGTAGCCACAGGCAAGCCTTGTATTTGCGGACGGCAGCGGAGGGTGGTAAGAGGGAGAGGGCGCGTAGGGGTCAGAAGGATACCCTTATGCTTGCTGACGGTGGCGGATGTTCTAGGAATACAGTCAACTAGACGACTTTGGTAAAAGAGGACAGGAGTTAGCTGGAGTCACATTTGTACTACATCTGGAACTCGCATGTAGCTGGAACATGATGAATATATATATATATATATATATATATATATATATATGTGTGTGTGTGTGTGTGTGTGTGTGTGTGTGTGTGTGTGTGTGTGTGTGTGTGTGTGTGTGTGTGTGTGTGTGTGTGTGTGTGTGTGTGTGTGTGTGTGTGTGTGTGTGTGTGTGTGTGTGTGTGTGTGTGTGTGTGTGTGTGTGTTTGGTTACCTGAAGTGTGCGCCTTTGATGCACCCCTGTGTGATTGTTGCCACGAGCGTTCTTTTCAACATGTCTCACCTCTTAACCTTATGGACTCGACAGTCAACGCTCAGTACCCTTACCTTTATGGACTCGACACTCAACGCTCAGTATCCTTACCTTTATGGACTCGACAGTCAACGCTCAGTATCCTTACCTTTATCGACTCGACACTCAGTCAGACACCCGACGCTCGGAATAGCCATTTCATGCTGGGTAGTGTTTTAAACGTCAATACATTCATACATACCACGCAGCTGCCGACTGCGGCGGAGAGTAGGAAAGCTCATAGAGTCACAGGTCGCCGCGGTTATAGGGACCTCAGGGTGCCGCGTGCCTGAGACAATGGCTGGCATTTCGTCTGGATATGTCAATTACGCCCAGTTACAGATAGATGCTGCAAGTATGAAGATGTCTTTGTTAGTTCTATCAGTTAGCCTTGAGGTACGGTGCGGTCGTCCCCCTGATTCAGTTAACAAGGACCCTGTTGTTCCTGGTTCAGCTGCGACTGGAGCAGTTTTCACCGGCTCAGTTGACACTGGCTCAATTTTACTGTTTCTGTTGTCACTGGCTTCGTGATTTCTGGGTCAGTTGTCTGGTTACCCTAAAAATGTATGATGAAAATACTTAAGAGCACGACAATCAGTATATGCCAATTATGGTTTGATGTCCTCTGTTATATGCGTGTATGTGTGCATTCGTAAAAATATTCACAGCATGGTTCTTCCGATTTCCGAGTCAGCGTATGTACTAAACATAGCGACGAACTCATCAGTTAGTTCATAAGCAAGTTACGTACGAACATGCCGTTTTTAAAGGCGATGTTCCAAATTTGCATGACGTTTTGAGCTGAAATAGCCCTCCTGGGGGCCATTCGGTGCAGTTTACAGCCCTGCTCTTCTTAAGACCTGAACACCTCTAGTTTCTGAGCTACACGTCCGCGAAGATGTGCGGGGACTACTTCGGGGCAGGGGCGGATCCAGAGGGAGGGGGGGGGGGGCACGGGTCCATTGGCTCCGAGTGGCTCGTAGCCAACCGGATAGGTGCAGTTTTTTTAACACAAAACGCAATAAAACTGGATACCTCTGGACTTCCAGGTGATCAAGAACAGCTGTATGTGAAAGTAAAGGGTCTGTGCAAAGTCAAAAAAATATTCAATGATTTGAAAAGTTGTGTACTGGAAATTTTAAGCCCGACTACACTGTCTAGGAGCCCCATGCTGCTTCCCGGGACCTATATGCGCATTTGTACGATCATTTTGATCGTTAAGGAGCATTCCACGTTGCCCTTTATTTCTTTGCATTTGCTGGGAGGGCCCTGCGCTGCTGTTGGGGCCCTTCCTGCTAGCGTGCCGGAGCACTCTTGTCAATCACCTTGGTTAACCTACCGACACACTTGTGGCGCTTCTAACTCTCTGTCACTTACTTAGGGCCTACGCTCTTGTCGAGCGCCCATCTGATGACTTGCTGGGCCCACTTAGTCGTTCGGGTACCCTCCTCACTGGGTCTTGGGTACTTCTTTTCTGAATGGGGGCCCTACGCTTGGGGGGAGGCGGCTATCTGATAACCTGCTAGGGCACATACCATCGTTCGGGGGCCCTCTACATTGGGCCCTGGGCACATACTATTTGAATGGAGCCCTACGCACTCGCCCGGGCCCCCTCTGTTCGCCTCCTCGGCCACGCTGGATTGCTCGGAGGCCTTGCACATCTTCCTGGTGTTTGAATTTAGGGTCCTCTGCTCCTATCCGGGTCATCTGATGGCCTGTTTGCGTACACTCCATCTTTCCGGGGTCTTCCGCACCGGGTTTTGAGCACTTCTTTTTTGATTGGAGTGCCTTACGCTCCTGTCGGGGCCCCCTCTGATAAGATGTTCAGGCCAATTCGATCTGGTTTAAGGTACTCCATTTTTAAATGGAAGGCCCTCCGCTCTTTGGGGCCCAATCTGTTAAACTGCTGGGGCACTCGAATATCCGGGGGCCCCCACATTGTGTCTTGGGCACTTCCTATGTCAATGGAGGGCCCTGCGCACTTGTCGGGAACCCCATCTGTTCGCTGCTTTGGCCACACTGGATTGCTTGGGGGCCATGAATATTGGGTCTTGGAGCTTAAATTTAGGGCCCTGCACTCCTGCCCCGGCCATCTGATAATTTTCTCAGCTATACTTTATCTTTCCGGGGGCCCTCGGCAATGGGTTTTGGGTGCTTCTTATTTGAGTGGAGCGCTCTACGCTGTACTCGGGCCCCCTCTGATAACCTGCTCGGGCACGTTCCACCATTCTAGGGCCATTTACGTAGTTTTCGGTGCTTCCCACTCGAATGGAGGGCCCTACGCTCTTGTGGGGAGCCATATTTGTTAACCTGCTCGGGCACATTCTGTTATTCGGGAGCCCTCTACATTGGGTCTTGGGTACTTCCTATTTAAATGGAGGGCCCTCCGCCCTTGACGGGGCCATATGTGTTGACCAGTTCTGACGCACTGGATCATTCGGGGAGTCATCTGCATTGGGTCCTGAATACCTTCTATTTGAATAGGGGGGGGGGGGGCTACGCTCTTTTTGGGAACTTTATCTGTTAACCTGTTCCGGCACACACGATCATTCGGGGACTCTACATTGGGTCAAGGGCACATCCCATTTGAATGGAGGGCTCTACGCTCTTGACGGGGGCCTATATCTTAAACTGCTCGGGCGCACTCGATCGTTCGAAGCCCTACACAATGTGTCGTAAGCATTTCTTATTTGAGTGGATGGCCCTATGCTCATAGCGGACTTCATCTATTAAGCTGCTCGGGCCGGTGGCGGACGCAAGGGGGGAGGGAGGCACGGGACCGTGCCCCATGGGCCATGCCGAGGGACTGCTAAATTGCTCAGGGGCCCTTCATGTAAGTCTCTGGTTCTTTCCACTTGCTTGGAGAGCCTTGTGCTGTTGCTAGGGCTCTCATAAGGTAAGGCACAGGGACACACGATGCTCAGAGGCCCTCTACTTTGGTTGAGGGCTCTATCTCTTTAGTCTCATTTGCGGAGGACTTTTCACTTCTATCGAGGCACGCGTTGTTAACGTGCCCGTGCACTCTTGATTGCACAGGGGTATCAGATCATGGTCTTAGATGGTTCCCTTTGCTCAGAGGGTCTCGTGCTCTGGCCGGGGCCTTCTGTGTTGGCATGCCGGAGCACGTCTGGTCGCTCAGGGGTCCACCACGTTGGTCTTGGGTTCCCTTTGCTTGCTCTGAGGACCCTATACTTGCTGACGGGAGCTACTTTACTGGCCTCCTGCGGCACCCATGATCGTTCAGGTTCCGTCCCTATTGGCCCTGGTTCCTTCGCCTTAGAGCGGCGGTCAAATACGCGTCGATGAATTTTTACGCGCAATTGCCGAACGTAATTTCACATGCCACCGACGTCGTATGAGTCATTTCCAGTGGCTATTGAGTGCGTGACACTTATTATACTAGTGCATCACGTTCCTAACATATTTTGAATGCTAGGAAATGTTGTACTCCTTTATAACGAAGAATAGATTATGCATTAGTCATCAGCCATCAGCTGATTATATCACCCAGCCGGCTAGCCGTAAATACGTAACCTAGGAATTAAGTATCGAGTGAATCCTTGGTTTTGATGATCGTTAGTAGCCAACTCAAGTTTATTTTGTCTGTGTTCCGAAACAATTAGCCTTAAAATCACAGCATGTAACATGATCTGTAGAAAATGAGTGAGCTCTATGTGTATGCATACGTAGCACGCCTAGCTTTATAGGGCTGTGCACAGTAAGATGGGTTACGTAGTTACTAAAGAAATTAATAAGCATGCTTATATAATAAGTATACATACTTATTTATGCATCCTGTGTGTGCATATATGTATACCTATATATATATATATATATATATATATATATATATATATATATATGTGTGTGTGTGTGTGTGTGTGTGTGCGCACAACCTGTCTTAAAATGTAATGACCGAAGTGCAACGATATTTTTTTTGTCGGGGCCCCAAACTCCAGGGCCCCACAATGTTGCGTGGTCTCCCCCATGGACGAAATTCTGGATCCGTCCCTGTTTCGGGGACACTATTTCAAGATCGCCCGGGCATCTATGACCCCATAATAAAGTCATTCAAATGCTGTTAGTCCATTAGCCATACGGTGCTCAAGGCCAATAGAAACACAATTGTTGAGTCGTTCACATCTGGCGTTTCTGAGCACGATTTCCGCATATAACGGCTGTTCATTGGCT